TCAACCGCAGGGAACCTAACTTGGGCTCATAACCTACGGGGGCAACCGAAAGGGAACAGGAAAAGAAACCAACCCTCAACAGTCGCCTATATGGATTTCCCAGATCGAACCAGAAACAAGAACACCCACCCCTACGGGGACAGGATAAGGGAGAAGGGACGGGACTACTCCAACCCGTTAAACCCAACCCCAGACGTACGTACTTTTTCAACAAAAGCTGACGGCTCTTGGCCATCTTGAGCCATACAAGATTTCCGGGTTCATTGACCCTTCCAACCCCCAACACTAACTCCTTTCTACAATACCAGTTGCAGCTCCGCACCCTGAACCCTAAACCTTAAACCCTAAACCCTAAACCCTATAGACCTTATAAACCTTAAACCCCCCTTTTCTTCCCAGCTCTGCCAGGCCTGCACCCGAGCCCTTGGGCGCTGCAGTCCATCACTGCATGGCGAGGATCCCTGGCAGAACTTCGACTTACACCCTAAACCCTAAACCCTCGAGTTTAGGGTTGGGGCTTGGGGCTTCAGGGCGCCAACCAGGGCAGAGCCGCCCGCCCTCTTAGCCAGCAACTTATAAACCCAACGTTTAGGGCTTCAAAAGGGTAGGGGGTTCGTGCCGGCACCTGATCTCTCAAAAAGCGTGCTGGCAGACACTAAGAGGCCACGGAACCTTAACATTCCTAAGGGGAAACTTTCAGCAAACCAGACGGTTTGTGCAGAGTTCAGAGTTCAGGGTTTTGGGAACCCTGTGGAGTCTCCTCGGTGCTCCCGGGAGGTCTCGGGCGGAGGCGCGCGCCATCGCTGCAGGGCGAGCTTACCTGGCATTATCTACGACGAAGGGAATTGTCCCAATCTTCTCTTAACGCCACTCAGGCACAACTTCCCAAATGCAAGGCTTGTTCTGCTCTTAAGCCACTGGCTTTGGGTTGGGGAATCTGGGCTCCAGGGCGTCAGATCAAACATCTGGAAGGCATGGGCGCCTTTGCTAGGCGAGCTCCAGCACATGGCGATGGCGTCGATGCACGCTGCACCTGAGCACTGAGTACTTGCATGTTGATCTCACTGAGTCTCACGTGCGAACCACGCCAGAACTCAAGGACATGGGAGCTCATGGGCCCTGTGGTTTCGTATGTTGAAGCTTATCAAAACTCTTGTAATAACAACCTACAACTATCCACAAACATCAGATTTCTTCAGGAAGGACTTCGGGTAGCCTCGCAAGCTGACGACCTCAATCCCAATCCCACACGTCATCCTCAAATGACCTGTCTGCCTGTCTGCTTTTGGAGGGGGAAGTGAATGAAGTAGAACTGTGTTCTGGCCCCAGGTCCCAGCAGGTACCATGAACCGTTCTGAAACCCTGTAAAGACCCCAAACCCTAAACCCTAAATCCTAAACCCTAAACCCTAAACCCTAGGCCCTAAACCCCTTCTGCCAAGTTTTGCAGGCCCAAAGCACAGGGACGACGACCGATGGCACCCGCGAAGTCTGCATGAGGATGAGATAGTCGGCTGCCATGGCCTCATGACTGCAGAGCTTAGGGTCTGTGTGGAGGTTTACGAGAATAAGGGACCCCCACTATAGATCCCCAAATAGTAGGACCCCCTTTGTAAGAAAAAAACCAATAAGGTATGCCATGCTCATTTTTGGAAACCCCGATGTAGTCTGTAGGGTTAAGCCCCAGGTGTCAAAAGGGCGATTTCCGTGCTGGAGTTGCACAAGGTCGAAGAATATCCCTGACCCTAGAATTCCCCCCAAAGCCCTAATGAACCTAAACCCCAATGCCATGAACCCAATACCCTGAGCCCTGCACCCTGGTCAAAAAAGCCAAAAGAAACAAAAACCATCCAACAGCGGTAACCTACAAACTCCATGCTCTACAAACCTCTGCACAGACCACAAGGGCCTAAAACCTGAGACCTGACAGCGCGCGACGAACCCCTAAACCCGAACTGTCGACGCGAGCACCCTAAACTCCACGCCTCCAAGTACTGGTTCCTCTGCACGAGCTCCTGTGCTGCACTTTGGAACTGGGAGGGTCAGACGATTCTTCCTTCCAGCATTCGGGGTCAAGGGTTCATGGGCTTAGGCCTGCAAGTTGTTGGAGACCCCAAGCCCTGAACCCTGAACTCCAAAGCCCAAACCCGAAACCCCTAAACCCTAAACCCCAACCCCCAAACCCTCACCCCTGTAGGGCCAAACGAGGCTTTATTCTTGGTAGCCCAGCAACCATATTATGATAAGGGCACCCTTTTTTTCGGGTTGGGTTATTCTATAGGGGAAACCATAAACAAGAACAGGGTAAAGGGTACCACTGTTAGAGGGGTGGGGGTTGGCGCCAGAGGCTCCGTGTTGCGGCGCCGGAGCTCCGCCACTTCCGCGCGAAGTGAGACGATCTCCCCCAGGTCCTCCTCGTACCTTGTAGGGCGTCACATAGGGCTTGGGGTTTAGGGTTTAGGGTTTATTATTTTAGGGTTCAGGGTTTAGGGTTTAGGGTTTAGGTCCTTGCAGGGTTCAGGGTTTATAGGGTTTAGCTTGGGCAGCAGAGTCGTCTTATTGGGGGGGATGTTCGGATTAGGGCTGTAAGGTAAGAGAGTGCGACTCCTGGATGTAGGGCGCAGGATAGCAAGGATTCCGTAGGGCGGAACAGGTGTTCGAACGTGGCGCAGGGGAGTGAGTGCGTGGGTTCTAGAAGGGCTGAGGGCTTTAGCCCCTAAACCCTACAAAACGCATGGTTTACTAGTAAACTAGTAGGTTACAACCCCCTTGAGTACAGGGCAGACGCCTTTGAACCCAAAGGGTAAGTGGGGAACCAGGTCATACTTAGGGTCGGGGGCACCACGTTCCTAAGATTCTGGGACGTGCAACCTCCTGTCTGAAACTCTAAGCCAAGCCCTTAACCTTTACCTGGGCTGGGTTTGGGGGGCCCTACGCCCTAAACCGCAAACTATACAGTAGTATGTCTCTACAGGTTGATTGAATGGGGATACGTGAGGGTTGGGCGCCAATGGAACTTTGAAACTTATTCCAAGTCGTAGCGAGTTGAGGAGCTCCTCAAGATGGAGTTCCTCCCTTGGGTTTGTTCTGAAAACCTAAGCCCGTAAGGGTTTAGGGTTTGGGGTTTAGGGTCCCCTAAACCCTAAACCCTAAACCCTAAACCTAAAGCCCCAAACCCTAAACCCAAAACCCAGCTAAGCCCTTCAGGAGCTAAGGCTCGAGGATGTTATGGCCCGGACGGCCCGTTGTTGAGCTTCCCTGAGGTCTCTCCGCGTCACCAGCACGTCGCCCACGGGAAGCAGCAGCCCGGTCTTGGACCTCCAATTGTACTCCCCTTAGAACCTTAATAAAAATATGTTTTTAATATCCTCTTGGGTTTTATATGAACAAAAATAAAAAATAATTCCCAAGGGGGATATAGCCAAAGGGGTTCGGCCTTTTTACGGGATGCTTCAGGGTTCGTTAATGGGGATTTTAGGGTTTTTAGGATTTATAGGACCTCCAAAAGAGGTTTGGCTTTTCATGGAGTTTAAGGGTTTATTGGGTCTTTGGGATTTTTTAGGGTTTATGGGGTTTATAGGGTTTCTTGGGTTTGCCGGGTTTAGGGTGCACTGACAGGATTAGTATACCCTAAAACCTGTTTAAGCTCCAGTCCAACAATCGCCACCTTGGGTGTAGAAATCTGTGGATGATACTTGCCTTGGACAATTTGGAGGCACCTGGGTTAGGGGTTTAGGGTTAGGGTCGTGGAGAATCTGGCGCAGAGTTTTACAGGGAGGGTTTTCATGTGGGCGTAGGGCAAACACAAGATCCAGGCCTTCGGGCTGTTAAAGCCCGCGTACCTAACCCTAAACCCTAAACCCTAAACCTTAAACCTTAAACCCTAAACGGGACTACAGCCCTCAGCTTTACACCCATCTTCCACCCTCAGCCCGCAGCCCTGCATCCTACGCCCTGTACACCCTCAACAGCCAATGTGCCCTGCACACCCTACATAAATACAAGTACAAATGAATAAACAGATACATAAATGCATAAATAAATAAATAATTAAATAAAAATATACATACAAAAATGAATGAATATCTATATATATATATATATATATATATATATATATATATATATATATATTACATATACCCTATATAGCCTAGATGCCCCACATAGCTTATACCCTATCGTAGACCCTATAGTTCTTTGGTATCCTAGGCGTTCATGTCTTGGACCTCTTTGGTCCCAGCGCGCCCCGTCGGCCATGGTCCGGCTTCCAAAACCTTGGGTTTAGGGTTTAGGGTTAGGGTTTAGGGTTTAGGGTTTAGGGTGTAGGGTGTAGGGTTTAGGGTTTAGGGTTTAGGGTTTACAGTTTAGGGTTTAGGGTTTAGGGTTTAGGGTTACCGACCGCGCTGTTGACCCCTGCAGGTGTCGCTAGAACCCAAAAGGTGGAGCAACTCTAGAAGCCGCAAGCCAGCTGAATTCTCAGTAGCCCTAGATCCCTAAAACGCTCCTGAATCTCCTCAACCCTGGGCATCCAAAACACCCTACACGTACCCTAAACACCTGAACTCTAAACCCGACACCCCCTTCAACCTGAGGAAACCCTAAACCCTATAAACCCTAAACCCTTCAACCTGAGGAGCAGGTTCAGGAGATTGAGCGGCGGGGGTAGCGTCGACTCATCATCGAACTCGTGCAGTGCCTCGATCCGTGAGAAGGCCCAGGATGTCTGGGACATCGCCTGATTCTTCCTCGGATGGCTCTGAGGATGTGTTCCCCCCCCTTATTTAGGGTTTAGGGTTTAGGGTTTATGGTTCAGGGATGTTCCTCTTTGTAGTAACAGGCCTCAACAGGGATTCTAGCAACCCCCCTACTAAAGCCCCTTTTAGGGGGAACATCCCAAGATGGCTCCCTCATCCCCCCCTTCCATAGGGTTCAGGGCCGCTCGTTCCAAACCTTCTGGAAACGATTTGTTGAAAAACAACACGATCCTCTTACAAAGATTTAAACGCGAGGGCCGAGAAGAAGAATAAGAATAATATGAATAACAATATTAAACAGCAAAAACATATCCCAAGGTCCAAGCTTCTCATAGGTGCTGTTCATCACAGCTATGAGCCTTGGATGTGTATGGCTACCCCCAGGGCCCTATATAAGCCCCTAAAGCCTGAACCGTTCTCCCGAAAGCGGGTCGTGCGGTTTGGGAGCAGGTTCACCAGCAGCACGTTGCAGACAAGCGCCAGGATGTAGACCAAGACTGTGGCGGTCATCCTCCCAAGGTAGTAATGCTCTCCGAACCCGGAAGCCGCAAACGACTCTACTAGGGTTTTCCGCAAAGCACCCTGCAGCCCTAAACCCTGTCCTCGTGATGGGAGGAAGGCTCTTGAGCTGGGCTAGAGCAGCTTCATCCAGGCTTCCCACAATGGTCCAGAAGGCCCACGTCAGCCCCTTCCCCGCTCGGAAGGGTCGAGGGATGACGGGGAGGGGTGTAAAGAATGCGATGAATTGACAGGTTCAGGGCTTTTGGGCCGCTGGTCGACGGGTTTCGGGATGGCTTGCACTGATTGGTTGAAGAACGAGTTGCTGAGAGAGGCACTACAGTATTTGGGCGCTTGGTAGCACCTGTGGTGAGCGGTGAGAGCAGCTTTTAGGGCGTCTTCCTTCCCGGGCCTGGTTGTCCCTTTCCTCGATCTGTGTGAAGAGAATCGGTGTGATAGCGCAGCTAAAGGCGCAGCAAAAAATAACGACCAGGATGAAGAACTTTAGCGCATCCTGGACATCAGCCAGGACAGCCGTGACACAAAGCGCGCGGCCACCAAAAACAGCAGGCAAAAATCGGGACGTTCCCCCTTATACTAACAGCCCTTAATAGGGATTTAGGGGGTACTAAAGCCCCTATTAAGGACTGTTAGCATAGGGGGGAACATCCCAAGACGGAATCCTTGTGATCCCCCGGCTCGCACGTCGTGTTACGAGTGTCGACACATCGGCACAAAACCCCAAGGACCGGCAAAAGGGGCCCTTGACCAGAATGAACTATGGACTCACCCTAAACCCTAAACTCTAAACCCTAAACCCTGAACCCTCAACCCTGAACCCTGAACCCTCAACTGCTGCCTTGGCCATGCCGAAGATGGTGATAAGGAGGGTGCCGAAATACTCCGACTGCTGCAAGACCTGCAGCACCCTGAGCCAGCCTGGGCGTGGCCGAGGGTTGAGGGTTGAGGGTTGAGGTTTGAGGGTTGAGGGTTGAGGGTTGTGGGTTGAGGGTTGAGGGTTTAGGGTTCAGGGTTTAGGGTTGAGGAATCTTGCCTTGTACGCAGCACTCTCCTCACACCAAACACCTCGAACTGCCGTACATAGGTCCAAGCAACAGGGAAGGAGGTTCATGGCATGCATCACCTCCAATATCTGCTCCTGAGTTGGGGGTGTTGGCCGTTGGTAGCTGTCATCGCATCCCTGAAATGAAGATATCCAGCGCTTCTGGTGCAAGGCTGCATACGTGCCCCTGGGACTGAAGTTACAAAAAAGGTGTTCCTGTTAAGAGTGCAGAGTGCGCGAGACCAGACAACGCAGGGCTTAACAGAAACGGGCTTGCCTTGCGTGACTTACCGTCAGCATGCCTGACCCCCCTCTGAAAGCCTAAGGAAACCCTGAAGGTACATAGACTGCCTAACCCCTAAACCCCCTTAAACCCTAAACCCTATATATAGGCCCGAAGGACATCCTGAATCCTATATCGACCCCCGAAGCCCTAGAACAAATCCTATAAGCCCTTGGACCCTGACACTTCCAAAGGCCTCCTCCTCAAAACCCTAAACCCTAAACCCCAAACCCTAAACTCTAAACCCTAAACCCCAAACCCTAACCCTAAACCCCAAACCCTAAACCCCAAACCCTTAACCCCAAAACCCAAACCCTAGCCCAGCCGCGGGCTTGTTCATCTCTCGACTTTGGTCCGACAGGAAGAGGCCCAGGACCAAGGCGGACAGGAGCACCTTGTGGGGTCTGAGGTATTCTGTTTACGTTGCTTTTTTGGGGGGTTTCGGGTTTAGGGTTTAGGCTTAGGGCTTATGGCTACGGGTTTGGTGCTTTGAGGGTTTTCTGGCGGGCCGGGGGGGGGGGGGGGGGGGGGGGGGGGGGGAGTTAAGTTTGAGGATTTGGCATGTGCAGGGATTGGGTGTAAACGGGCTTTCTGGATCGGAGTTTGTGGGGGGGTGACAGGTGTTTCCGGCTAGTCTCCCGAAGAAAAAAAAGAAAACCATTTCTATTGCTGGGTGCGCAGTGATGTGCAGGGTATCCAGGATGTTCCAAAAGTCATGGATGTAGGTGTAGAACCTGGAAGCACTGAAACTCGAACCCCCACGTGGGCCCTCAGCCTTATCAAGTCCCTGGCTGAAATCTTCTTACGGGTGTTTGAATGGGATTTGGGGGGCAATTCTATGTACTGCACAACCCGACAACTGCGCCCGCATATACACGTAACCCTGCAAAAGCCAAAAAAAAGGCAGGGGCCCCCTGATGATGACCTCGGATGCGAAGATCTTATCGCTTTCGGGGCACTTGGGGACCCGCCTGGCTGAGTGTGGGCGCATAGTACGGTTACAACTTCCCCATGACAGCGAAACCCACTTGTCCAGAACACTCGAAACCAAACATTTCTGCATTAGGCTCTTGACAAGCAACAAGACTGCAAAAGCGCTGGTCCGGAATCTTACTGTACGATGCTATGGCCCTTAGATCCCTTCTGCAAACATCCGAATTCGCTCATACTCTCTTGTTCATGAACTCCCTTTTCGAACGACGTCTTCTGCATTCCTTCGGTCTTCCATACCTCTCAGCTCAGTCTGTTCTTGTTGCTTCATCCCTTCTGCGGTCCTCCTCTCCTAGGTCAGCTACGTCATCCCGGCAGTGAAGCAAGGGCTGTGCTGTTTTGGCCCTGCACTACAGAGGATGTAGAATTTGATGGGTGCCTTGTTGCGACCCAATTTCCCCGCCCCTGCCCAGAAACAAGTCTACATGGCATTAATGACTGTGCCTCAACCACAAGAATCATAGAACTAGTCATGTCGTTCATGATTAAAAAAGCAGACGCCCTGAGAAGGCCTACATCGGTATGAGACCCAACATCCCGAGCCCTAGGCTGCGAACGGAGCCTGTGTTCCGAGCGTAGGCATTGAGGGCCTATGTCATGGTGTGTGGATTGGGAGGTTCCCCGTTATACTCATAGTCCTTAAAAGGGATTATCGTACCCCCTATGATAATCCCGAATAAGGACTGTTAGCATAAAGGGGGAACATCCCAAGGTGTGGAGACCCAAACTAAACAAGCATCAAGTGCGGCCAGGGATCAGGAGTCACAGTAAGGCTTCGGGAAATGTAAGGGAAGCTCTAAGGACATTTCGAAGGACCATGATCCCCGGAAAAGCCTAACCAAAAAAACTGAAAACCCCCAAACCGCAGACCCCCAAACCCTGCAGCCCCCAAGCAGAGATGAAACCAACCAGCACCCCGAAACCCTAAACCACTAAACGCTCCCAAAGCCCAGGGGCCCATTTGTCTCCAGCTGTCGAAGCCTCGAAAGTGATTGCGGGTTTGGTCTTGGGTTTAGGGTTCAGGGTTTAGGGGTAAGGAGGTAGGGCGCTGGGACTTCAAGAAAGCCCCGACCCTGAAGTTGCCCGAAAAAACCGACTGAAGGCCGATACAAGTCCCTTCTCACACCCTCGTCCCCCGAAAACCTCGCAAAACCCCCTCAGGACCCTAAACCCCCAATCCCGGATTGCAACATCTGCCTTGGCCTCCGTTCTCCACTCTAAGCCCTATGAGCCCTACAAGCCCTAAACCGACTAAATCCGACTACGCCCGACTAAACCCCCCGCCAAAACTTCCAGAGCCGAGGCGCTCTACTAGCCCAAAGCCCAGACCCCAGAAGAACAGCAGCACCTCGGAGGTTTCAGGAACTTTTGGGGCTTCTTTTTTTGGGGGGGCTTCTTTTTTCGGGGTCAGGGTTTAGGGTTCGGGTTTAGGGTTTAGGGTTTAGGGTTTGGGGTTTGGGGTTTAGGGTTTAGGGTTTGGGGTTTGGGGTTTAGGGTGTAGGGTCGGTTTAGGGATGTTTGGGGTGTCGTTTCTGGGGAGAGGGGGGAAGGGGGGGCGGGGAGGGGAGGGTTGGGGGTTAGGGGGTGGGGGGTTTGGGGGGCTTGAGGGCTTCTCGCATCCAAAGATCACCCTCCTTTGTATGGAGTTCTTTACAAGGGTCCCCGCAACCCTGACCCCTAAACCCTAATCCGGCAGCCAGAAGCTTTCGGGATCAGACTCCAAGCCGAAGCCCAGCCCTGCACCCCAAACTTCGAGAGAGTCCAAAACACCAATAATTATGACTGTTTACGATATTCGGGGTACCTGATTAGGGTCCTGATTAGAAGGGAATCCTGCCATTTGGGCAACTTTGGGGGTCCCCTATTTTTCGTAAACCCCTATATGGGGAGGGGCCTATACCTCATAAGGGAAGGTATCTGGGGTGCCTGCACGTGTAACTATCTCGCGAATGCAGGGATAGTCATGGTAACTAATCCGGTTATTGCTCTCAGTACCCAACCTCTGCAAAGCAGATGCCGCCCACGGCCAGGAGCCGGTAGAAGACCGCATAGGAGTAGAGCGCGACGAAGAGGCACCGGGCAATGCCGTGGGTCCAGGCCTGGATCTTGCAGGACTTCAAGACTTCAAGGGCTTCAGGGTCGTAGGGCTTAAGGGTCTCAGCGTTTTAGGGATTGAGGGTTTGGGACACCTTAGACAGGGCAGTTTCCGTTGAGGGTTAAGCCGACCGACGCCTGCTTTCGGGTTCCGCGTTTCAGATGAAGAGAACAGTTTGGGCCGCAGGAAAGCAGAGCTTGGGGTTAAAGGATCTAGCATGTAGGGCAAAAAATTTACAGCCGGGCCTGGCTTGGTTTTCAAGGACTTCGGGTTGGTAGTGTGGATGAGATCTGGCAGAGAAGGAAGATGAGCGTGACCACAGCGAACGTGAGTTGATGCGAAAGCAGAATCATTGCCATGGCAAGAACGGGGTGGGGCGGCAAATCCCCAAACCCTAAACCCTAAAACCTAAACCCTAAACCCTAAACCCTAACCCTAAACCCTAAACCCTAAACCCTAAACCCTAAACCCTAAACCCTAAACCCTAAACCCTAAACCCTAAGCATTGCAAGGCGTGCTTTGCGCGGGCCTGGACGTACGGGATGGAGAAGAACTGCCAGGGCTCAAAGTTGCAGATCTTGAACTCCTTGGAGTCCTTTGAGGCCCACTGGTAGCGTTAATAACCGTAAGATCTCATTATGGTTATATCTATCTATGTAGATATAATTAGTTTTGGTATAGCTGTATATATATATACACATTTAGATAGATAGATAGATAGATCGATAGATACGAGTACATATGTAGATAGAAATGAATATATACTAGCGCCTTAACAAAAGGTTCAAAAAACGGTCACTGACTGGGTCTCGAAGAGTCCGAGCCCAGCCGGAGCAGGGACCTCCAGCTGAAGAGCTTGGCATCCAGCTGGCCCTGGCGGAAGTGGATGTGGAAGGGCACCGGGGTCATCCAATACCTGGGCTGAAGATGACAGAATTATTTAGGGGGGAGCGGTGGGGGGTTGAGGGGTGAATCGGGTAACTCACACCACCCCCGTTTGGGGGGGTTCGCATTAATTGGGGGGGGGGGGGGGGGGGGGGGAGGGGAACCTTTTTTGGGGGGTAAGGGGATTCTCTTCTATGTGGGGTATTAAAGGGGTACCCCTATTTTGGGAAATGCACTCATGGCCCTGATAGCTCAAACCGCAATCCACAAGAGCATCCCAGAAGAACACCCAAGGAGCAAGTCCACTGCTCGCCGGTAGGTGGTCTTGGACACGAAGGTCTTGCAACCCAGCTCGTGGGCCAGCTTGAAGCAGTTGCGGTTCCCTTGCCATCGGACCGACTCCTGACAAGGCCAGAATGCAACTGGAAACTCAGAGTACCGGCCTAACCGGTGTGGCGGCGGATTTTCCTCTGAAACGTTGCCCTGAACCCCAAAAGCCCCTAAACCCTACAGTTGCACCCTACTCCTGGAAAAGGTACTCGACCCCTTTGCCCGACTGCGCGAGGTCTTCCAAGACGAGGATGGCCAGGCGCTCGAAGCGATCGGCCGAGTCCTCCAACTCTTTCTTGGCCAGGCCATCCTCGCCAGGGAGAAACAGGGCACCCTTGTTAGAATATGGCTACTGGGCTACTCAGTAGAGGGCTTTGGGCTTTTCAGGTGATGTTTCTTCTTGTTCTTATTTGCTGAACATTTTAAATGAGGATGTTTAGTAAAAAGGATGTTGCTTGTCCATTTACGTGCTGAATATTTATTAGAAGGATGCGTAGGAGCTTAGCTGCTTTTGCTTGCTTACGGGTGTTGGAGGTTTGCTTGTGATGCTGTAATGGCACTTTCGGGAATTAGGGCTGTAAGGGCTTATAGGGCTTATAAACAAAAACTGGTCCCAAAACCCTTCATCAATCCTAAACCCCGAAACCCTAAACCCCCAAAACTCCCTGGCCATGTTAAAAGCAACAGATCATAATACTAAGGATGCTAAACCCTAGATGCCAACACCCTAAACCCAAACCTGGGTTGGTTACTGTATAAGGGAACCCAGAACCAAAAAAAAGCTGAAGGGTACCACGGGGCTGCCCCCTAAACCCTCAACCCCAGACCCCAAACCCTAAACGATAAACCCTAAACCCTGAACCCTAAACCCTAAACGCTAAACCCTACACAATAGCGTCCTGGTAGGAGGCTGAGCCATGACGCCGCTCCGCGGTTTCTCGGCACGCGGAGGCCGCCACCAGAGCTGCGTGAACGGGATCCTGGTCTCAACAGGGCTCTGTTGGGTTTAGGGTTTAGGGTTTAGGGTTTAGGGTTTAGGGTTTAGGGTTTAGGGTTTAGGGTTTAGGGTTTAGGGTTTCGGGTTTAGGGTTTAGGGTTTAGGGTTTAGGGTTTGGGGAAACTGGGGCTCTGGCTTATGTGGCATATAGGGTTGAATTGAACCCAAAAGTAAAGTCGAGGTCACAGGTTTTCAGGTCCTTTGAGGGTCCAGGTCAACTGCTGGTGTCCTCCATGTAGGACCAAATGATCTCCAGCACTGAGCTGGGGGCCTCCTGCTCGATGGACCAAACGAGAAGACCTCCAGGGAGCTGGCGTCACGTCTCTCCGTTCCGGTCCAACTTTTGCTTGTCCCCGTTATAGTACGGCCCCCCTGATTAGAGGACTGACTATCTAAACTCTCTATTGCAGGATCGGAATCGCACAGTTGGGCCTAGAAGCTGTGGGGGTTTGGCGTTTAGGGTGGTGATCCGGCTTCGCGTGGGTCTGTCGAGGGCCTTCTTCGTTTTAGAGCCCACGCCTTCCAGAGACCTCCACGAATCTTGTGCCACGTGGCTCCAGTTGATCGCCACGTCTAGGGTGTCCCTGTTCACCACGAACCTAGCTGTCTGCGGGATGCTGGGCATTTACGGTTTACAGGGCTTAGGAGGTGGGCTTCTTTTGCAGCTTTCCATGGAATGTGTGGCACAAACCTGGACCTGCAGCCTGTCATGTCGGCTGGTTCGGATATCGGATAGCTGCATAGCTTGCCGAGGAACTGATCCATCTGCTTCAGGTAGTTCTGAAGAAGCCACGCAACCAACATGCCGGAGTTCTCTCGCACACTGCGCACCTGACCAGGCGCGACCGTTGTACACACTGGCAAGTCCGTACCACACCCCAAGCCCTAAACCTCAGACCAGTATCATTTATGGCGAAAAAGTACCTGCAGACCGGAAAATTCTCAACCCGGAATGAAGGCAACGGCAACCCCATCCGAAGCCCACAGACCCCCCCCCCCCCCCCCCCTCTGGACTCCTAGAATCCTTGGTCTCAGGAATCCCTGTAATTGCCTGTTGTCCCTAGCAGATATGGTCCCTGTTGCACCCCCTTTTGGCCCTTAAACCCTAAAACCCTCGAGGCTCTAAATAAACCCCAAAAGAAACCCTATAAAGCCCTATCAATACCATACACCCTACATGAACCCTCTAACCCTTGAATCAACCCTACAATATAAAACCCTAAACCCCTTAAAATCCTCAAGCTTCCATACCCCTGTCTTGCCAGAGCACCACCGTCACAGGCGTCATGGACCGGCCGTTCTCTGCCGAGCCGAAGGCCACGAGTTCCTGGCCCACATGGGCTTCGGGTTTAGGGCCTCAGGGTCTTAAGGTTTAGGGTCTTAGGGTGTTAGGGTCTTCAGGTTTAGGGCCTCAGGGTCTTAGGGCCTCAGGGTCTTAGGGTCTGGGGTCTTAGGGTGTTAGGGTCTTCAGGTTTAGGGTCTTAGGGTCTTAGGGTCTTAGGGTCTTAGGGTCTTAGGGTCTTAGGGTCTTAGGGTCTTAGGGTCTTAGGGTCTTAGGGTCTTAGGGTCTTAGGGTCTTCGGGTCTTAGGGTCTTAGGGTCTTAGGGTCTTAAGGTTTAGGGTCTTCGTGCTTCGGGCTTAGGGTCTTACAGGGTCTTATAGGGTCTTATAGCAGCGGCCCTCCCTACCTTAGTTGTTCAGTATCCTGGCCCTCCAAGTTGTGCTTGCTTCGAAGAAAGCCTATGGTACCGAAACCCGAAAAGCCCCGTGAGCCACAGAGCCCTTGAAAACCTTCATCTCTCAGGCTTCAGGGTTTAGGGTTTAGGGTTTGGGGTTTAGGGTTCAGGGTTTAAGGTTTAGGGTTTAGGGTTAAAGATTTAGGGTCATGTTACTACGAAGCTTCGGCTTCGTGGAGGTCTTGTGCCCGGGGCTTTCGAAGCCAACGGGTCAGGGTTTCACGAACCTTCGGAGCCGCTACGTTGTATCGCCCTACACCCTAAGGCCCTAAGTCCTAACAGGGGGTGTAGGGTTTAGGGTTTAGGGCTACCCGAAACCCTAAACCCTAAACCCTAAAACCCTAAACCCTCAAACCCGAAACCGGAAGGGTTCTTCGGCTTCTTGGCTCCTTGAAGATCAACTTGATCGCGCCATTCGGGTCTCCACTTTCCATCAGCCTCTGCCCCAGGTGGCCGTAGTAGTTGGAGCAGCCCCACCTGAGGCGAGAACACCCGGGGCCCTAAACAGCAGGGTCTGTTGTTTCAAAGGGATTTTCTAGATATTGCCAGGGGGTACGACTGGCAACAATTTTGGCTCCTGCACTCTACCCCTACCACCTATTCAAACTAAACAACCCGAAGCCGCCAAAGGAGAGGCTCACGTTGTGGGTGTAGAGGTTTGGGCTTGATGAGATTGGGGGTTTAGGGGTTCGGGCCCCTGGAAAACTGGGAACCATGTACAGAAGCAATTCAACTGCATCGAAAACATTTGAACAGCTAAACAAGTTTGTTTTTTGAGTTGAACTTTGTAGCTATAGCACCTACTTGCAGACATGCAGCAGGCAGGCACACGCCAGAGACACGGATTCACTGAATATGCCACACAAATACCCAAGAAGAAACAAGCCGTCTTTGTCTGTGCATGCTGGTCGGTTTTAGTTGACACGTATACGAATACATACATAAGAAAGTACTGTTTGAAAGATTAAAGTTTGCCACCCCGGCAGCTTGTTCAAATAAGGGAACGCTGACCGTACGAGCTTGGAAAGCCGTAAGACCAAGATATCTACCAACGCTGCAAGTCTATGAGCCCCTTGAGAACTCGAAAGTAAACCCTCTGGGACCTGTAGGTCCGGACTCTCAAAAACAACCTCATCCCCCAAATTGCACTCATCAGAGCAAGAATCCTGGCAAGAGATTCACAAGTATGCTGGAATCCCTTACTTCCTACGGTGCAACCCAGGTACTGCACTGCCAACACCAGCTGCTGCCCGAGCCCGACTGCGCTGGGTGCCTCAAGGCGCATCTGGGTCAAGGTTTCAGGGTTTAAGGCTTCAAGGTGTTTGGGTTTGGGAGTTGAGGCCAGGCTGTAGGGTTTTGGGCTCAGGGTTCAAGGCTTTGCGTGTCTAGGGCTTGTAGCCTGGCCAAACCCAATGCCGTAGGCCCTCCACACTGTTAGAGATCTAACATAAAGACCTTAGCCTGTAAAGAACATGACTCCCTGGCACCCTTCTGATGTAGGGCTTGGCATGGTTTGGCAATTTTGGGGTGGTTGCGTAGAACCTCTCGACCCGGAACCCCAGACGCAAAGCCTCTGCTGACCCCCTGTGGCAGCCTCAAGGTCGCGCGACGGGCCCGTCGGCGCAGAGCTGGCGTTGCCCAGCACGGCTTGAAGCACCACCTGGCGAAATGGGGGGAAGGGGGGGGGGGGGGGGGGGGGGGGTGCTTGAAGTTTTCCGTTTTTGGGGGGGGGGGGGGGGGGGGGGTCGAGGGCCTAGAGGTTGGGTAACCTACAAACAAAGGTGGCCTTCCACTAAGCCGTAAGTGAACTTCACAGCCTGAGTTCAGAGGGCCACCAGACGCACACCTGTAAGGTCCTTGCTGTGAAAGCCTTTTTGGGGATTTAGGGTTTAGAGTCTAGAGGGTTTAGGGTTTAGGGTTTTTAGGTTTTAGGGTTCCCTAGGCCCTTCCAAGTCAAGAGGTGAGCAGAGCACCTCTTCGAAGCGGTCGTTGATGGAGTAGATCACCACCATGTCGCTCTGGACGATGGCTTCCTCAGGCGGTTTAGGGTTTAGGTTAAGGGTTATATAGGGCCCTGAACCATAGTCCCGAACCCTCAACCCCACATCTCAGCAGCCAACATAGCAGCTCCGTGAAACCAAACCCCCGGCCTCCAAAAATCCCGTCGGGAGCCTAAACTTGAGGGACTTTACAAACTCCAAAAGCTCAACCTACTTCCTGAACCTCCCTACCTTTACCTTATCGCGAAAAGTGTGGAGCCCGAGCTGCGAAGTGTTCGATGTCTTGCGATGTCAAGGTGTCCTGGGGCATGAACTCCTTTACCGCAGATTGCCTTGGTGAAACACCAGAAGCGATCGGGCTTGGGAGGGCGGAGGGGGAGGGGGGGAGGGGGAGGGGGGGGCGGGGGGGGTAGGGGGGGAGGGGGAGGGGGGGGGGGGGAGAGGGAGGGGGACGGGGGGGGGGGAGGGGGCGGGGGGAGGTGCTTGGGCGATTACAAGTCTGACTGTAGTTTCGAAGTCGAAAGACCCAATGTTGCCAATTTGGGAACCCAAAAAAGCCTGGAAAGCCCACAAGGCCTGTACAGCCGATACAGAACCTCTAGAACCTCTGGATTCTAAACCCTATCAAGGCCCTAATGGAGTGCTGACCTTCAGTCGAAGGGGTACCTTGAGAAACCAAAACCTTACGATACTTCGGCAAACATACAAGAAATTGGGTCTTCCAAGCCTGCAATGCAAGCTCGAAGCTCGGTCATTAGGGGTGCTCCCGCCGCGTGGCCACTGTGTCCCGCACAAACATGATGCATCAACACTTAGTGTTTCCGAGAACTTCTGGATCGTTTCCCTTCCGGATGTCGCCACATTGAAATCTACACAAACGGGCAACAGAGAGACGAAGGGAAGTAGCAATAACATGGATCCGGCTGCTCATCCTGAAAAAGCTTTGAAAGGGTGGTCCATCGGCAGGAGGCTGGGCCCCGAGGCTGAATCAGAGATTGGCACCTTGGGGGGAAAATCGTCTTCACTAGGAAGCGACCATACACCCGGAAAAACAAACACAGCCGGGTATTCGTCATCCACCTTACAGTAAGGCCCTCAACCCTAAAACCTATACCCTATACCCTAAACCCTAAACCCCAAACCCTAAACCCTAAACCTCAGGGCCAAGCTGCAGTGTTTCCTTGAAGCGGCTCCTCGGGTCCCCCTCGCCATCCTCCTCGTCGTTCCTAGGTTGGACCCAGAAACCATCCGAACACATCACGAAAAGGGCTTAGGGTTTAGGATTTAGGGTTTAGGGTTTTTCTCTCAAAACCCTAGTAGAGCCCTTATATACCGAAGTAGCCCCAAAATGACCCCCAAAGAACCATTAAGGTCCATTATAAGGGTCCCTCCTTTAGTCCCTTAACCTACATATCTCAGACAAAAACACTTAAGATATCCAAAGAAAGAGTACCTAATGGTAACTTAGGGACTCCTGAGAGGGCTCTAAGACCCGGCAGATGACGTCGGCAAGGCGACCAGTTCCACGGCACACCACAAGAGGACAGCCGGTCTGAATGGCCTGCGCCAGTGGCTTTTAAGGCTCTTGCCCTTACAACCGTTTTCGTCCCTAAAACATTCCGGAATAAGCAACAGATCCTGAACTAAGCACTACAATATAAACATCCCTACATATGGCGTGCTTGCGAAAATAGGGGACCCCCAAAATAGGCCCCCACATAGTAGGAAAAAGGTACCCCCAATATCGTAAACACCCATATCCCCAATCACCTTACAAGTCTCTGGATTGTCCCCTTGGCCTGGACCAAAGACTCAAGCGAGATCTTGCCGCCATTCCTTCGCCAATAACCAAGTCTAGGGTTCTTAGGAATCTTCGGGTTTTTGGGGTTCTTGGGATTCGTAGGGTTTTTGGGGTTCTTAGAATTCTTAGGGTTCTTAGAAGCTAAAGCAGGGAAGCGAGGAGTCCGCCGGGGAAATTCTAGCAGTTGAAAAGTCGACTGAATGAAGTCGAAGATTCAGGAGGATCATCACGCGTGGCACGCGGACCTTCAGTCCCATGGCCTCCTCACCTAGGTTGCCCACTTACGTACCCGTGAACAAAAAAAATCACCTTTTCTGAAGGAAGCACCATGCGTCAGCCGTGCAAGAAAAAAGGGGTGATGTGTAGGACCACACTATACCGAGGAATCCCAGTCGCAGTCGCCCTTGGCCACGAGGTCCTCGAAGCGCGTCCGGAAGGAGATCTCGGTCCCGAAAGCCTGGCTTCCCACCTTGCCGTTGTCGCAGATGATGAAGTGCGAGTGGTTCTCCTGGAGCGCCGCCAGGGGCTTGTCGTCGACTTCGGCGGTCCCTTCCGCCTCTGCAGCATCCATCTTCCTGGAGTCTGTTGGGGGAGTCTGGCTTTTAAGGACCTTAAGGCATGAAAGCTTATGGAATACAAGCCTTATACATACATTCTACATGAGCCCATATACGACCCTAAACCCCATCATGCTCGAGGTCCAAGCAGCTTGGGGTTGGCTGGGCAACTCTCCTCGAACGCAGCCTCCGAGCAGATCAGGTCGCGCCAACCTCGTTTCAGCGCGCCATAGGGAGTTATACCTTGGTAGCCCAGCAACCATAATATAATAAGGGCACCCTCTTTTGGGGTTGGTTTTACTAAAAAAGGGAACCCAGAACCAAAAAGAAATGAAAAAGGGTACCACTGGGCTACCAAGATACCCAGACATGGCACCTGCCGTTCCTTGTCATGCTTCCGCATGGCCTTGCCGACGATCTCCATGACCCCGCTGGCTGTTCCACCTGGGGTTCAACTCTTTTTTTCCGGGGCTTAGGGTTGACCTGTTTTGGGGTATATTACTTAAGGGATGTTCCCCCTTATACTCACAGTCCTTAATCGGCATGATAGTAGGGGGTATTAGAATCCCTACCAAGGACTGTTAGTATTAGAATAAGGGGGGAACATCCCAAGTTTTGGGGGATGTGAATATTAAAGAGGCCAGATTAATGCATACCTAGCATGCAGCTGCTGCCTGTGATCACCCAGGCAGAGGTTCGCGTCGCCGCCTCCACCAGCCCCTTTGAGAACCCCTCAATGTCAAACTGGTTCCTTAGGTTGCTCTTCTCGCTTTCACAGCTGCTAGGGCGTGGCGTGCCAAAAGACCTTCGGAAGAAGGAGAAGCTTAACCAAACCCGCTGGAATCCCTAAGCCCTCAAAGCCTCGAAACGCTGAAAAACCGACTAAACAAACACTTTAACAATAATCACTGGTACTGCTGATAGCACCCTTTTACAAGCCCCTCGAAACTCCAAACGCGACCCGGAGTCGGGGGCAGAACCATGTTGCCCGCCCCGCCCATGATCGACAGAATGAGGTTCGGGCTGCGCAAGCCCCAGGGCTCCTGGGTGGGTTGACTCAGAGGGTGTTGCAGGGCGAGTCTATAGGGTCTATAGGGTTTAGGGGGGAAACCGGAGGAGAAGGGTAAACTTACCCAACTAACTTTAGGCACGTTGTTAAGTGATATAGGGTGGCAGGGCTTGTGAATTCTGAGGTAGAGCACAGGGATACTTGAAGCCCTTCCCGCCAAAAAACAAATCCTACCCTATAACATCTGCAACCCCTAAGATCTACACACCAACTACATGCAGTGTACCCCAAGACCCGAGACCCCAAACCACCTTGCAGTTGCTCAAACCCCCTACAGCCACCTTTGGCCTTAAAGTCATTCCAAACCTTGAACACTCAGCCACCCCCCATGGCTGTGACTGAAGTCGAACTCCTTTGCAGCAACCCATATTATGGGCCCTTGGTGGTACCCGGTACCGACACGATAAGGGATAGACTATGCTAGAGACCCCGAACTTTAGCTGCTCGTGAAACTCTTTAGAAATTGTATTTCTGGCCCCTGCGGAACAAACCCCAAAATAGTTCAAACCACGGCGGCGCCTTGAGAGCGATGGACTTCAGAAGGTCCTCCGGATCAGCCGTGTGGGAGATCAAGCAGTACCTGGGTGGAGTCGGGGGGGGGGAGGGGGGGAGGGTTAGGGTTTTGGTACATGGGTCTTGGGTTCAGGGCAGAGGGCCCAAGGGATTGGGGGAATTCTGGGCTTGTGGCTGGAGGGCTTCGGGATATCTGAAGTTGGGCCCCAGCGTTTTCAGGGTCCTGCTTGAGAAGGCGATCCTACAAAAACGCGGCTATGGCTTGCGTAACGTTAAGGAGCTCATGGCTTACAGGTCTTAGGTGGCTTAGGTGACCAGCGTCGTCGCAGCGTCGTAGTACAAAACACTTTAACGTTTCCCTGCTGACCTACTGGACTACCAAGAGAAAAAGTTCATTTTGTATGCAGGGCTTATAGGCTTTGAGGACCCGAAGCCCCACACCCGAAACCCTAAACCCCCAACACGCCAGCCCAGATGCTGGGAGGTGCGGGTGTCGAAGGAGAGCTCTGCCAAGCCATGCCGGCTGCGTCCTGGTGGCCTGTGAGGAACAAGGAGGGCATCCTGCTGTTGTGGGAATAGGCAACTCTTCCCTAAAGCCCCCCAAAGAAACCCAGAGCCCAAAATCCAAACACCCCAAAACCTGAAGCCACAAACAACGGAAGAGGGCTTCTATGAGCTTCTGGCTTTTGGGGTTTAGGGTCGAAGGTTCGGGGCTTCTCCAGTGCTTGACGGAAGCTTATATTGTTTTGGATTTAGACTTGAGGGTTTAGGGTTTGGAGGCTTTGTAGAGGCTTGGGGAAGCCCTCCCCAGCGCCAACGAGCCCAAGCTAGGGTTTTCGGCCTTGGGGGTTTAGGGTTTAGGGTTAAACCCTAAACCCTATAAACCCAAAACCATGAAGCCTAGAGACCCAGCTCTCCCGAGGTGGGAAGCCGCAGGCTCGGTTATGCAGAGGTCATGGGGTCCTATACTGCCCAGCACCCTGCCTAGGGTTTAGGGTTTAGGGCTTTAGGGTTTTAGGGTTTAGGGTTTAATTTAACACCAACCAAGAACACGAAGGCCCAAGGTGGGCTTGCTTTTGTGTAGGGCTGCACTTGGGGTGGCGTTTAGAAAGGGTGAGCTCATGTGCCAAGCCCTTGAGCTGAAGCAGGGCATTACAAACACAACGGGGACTTGATCTACATGTGGGGATTTCATCAACTCCATTTAGTCCTCTTGGGTTCAGTTAGGCTCATATAGCTTAGGTGGTCAGACGCCAGGGGACTTAGACGGGCTAGGAAGTTAGGGCTTGGGGCTCTGGCCCAGTATCCCAAACCAACCTGATCAGCCGCCCCTGATTACTGCAAAGCATCTAGCATGTCTCATCTCTAGTCCAGAAGAAGGTCCCTCATAACTTTGAACAGCACCCAAGTAAACTCCTTACACCCTACGCCCTATGAACCGCATGAGCCCTATAGAACCTATATCAACCCTATATAAACCCTATATACACCCTATGTAAACTTATGTAAACCCTATGCAAACCCTATATAAACCCTATAAAACCTATATGAGCCTCATATGAAAGCCTACATAACCCTATGAACCTACGACCCCCACGAACCCTTTCAAGCTGCACCCTGCGGAGCCACCTCAGAGACCGGTCTGCGTCGTGGCCATTGGCCGCATCTGCCTCCCCCGGCCTCCGAGACCGGCTCTGTTGGGCTTCGGGCGGTTTGGGGTGTGGGGGCTTAGGGTTCAGGGTTTTTGGAGTTTTAGGGCTTAGGTTTTAGAAGGGTTTTGGGGTGTAGGGGCTGAGGGCTTAGGCTCTAGGGCTTGGGGGCGGTTTAGGGTTTAGGGTTTAGGGTTTAGGGCTTAGGCGCTTCGGGGTTCTTGGCTTGGGGAGCTTAATTCGGGCTTCCGTGGAGTATGAGTAGAGGGCTTCAGGTTAAGCTACCAAGTGACACTTGGCTAAGCTGGACCGGCAAGCCCCACGTTGCCGCAAAGTCTTGTGGGGCCTAAGCCTTAAACCCCTAAACCCTAAACTGTGGGCCCGGGTAGCCGAAGCTAGAAAGGAATGTACTACAAAAGAGATGCCATAAGGGTGAACTACACCTCAAACCCAAAATCATAAATCTATCTTGCATCTTGCATCGCCCACAAAATCCTAAACCGCTAAACCCGTTTTGCTGCAAATCAAGAAGCCAAATAACCCTAATCCTAACCCCTAATTTGGGTCAACTCCACACCCCTAAGAGCCTAAACACTATCAGGAATACGTGACAGCCCTACTTAAACCAGAAACCCTAAACCCCTAAACCCCCAACAATTTCAATCTCCCCTTGTTCCAAGCTCGGCTGAGCGGCTCCCTCCGGACATCTTCGCTGAGGCCTCGCCTGGAAAACAGTTGCGGGGTTTGGGATTTGGGGTTTAGAGAGGGTTCCAGGGTTCAGGGTTTGGAGCTTTTTTTAGGGTTTAGGGTTTAGGGTTTAGAGAGGGTTCCAGGGTTCAGGGTTGTGATTTTTGGCTTCGGGCTGGAGGCTTAGGGCGCCCAGAGGCTGCTCCTATCATAAGAGTCTCGGACAGCGGCCTCAGTGTCTTCGTCCATGCGTTGCTGGCGCGGTCCTTCCATCTGCGAAGGATGCTGTCGAAGCCGTGTCGCTGAAGAATCTCCGCCATGGCTTCATCGCTCAAGGCCATTGGTGGGTCAACCAGCCCAACATGCAGCTCACTACTAAAAGCCAAAGCCTGCAAGGCAGAGTATCCGAGGACAGCTGCCAGGATCCCTGTCATGCAGGACCCTGTGGTCAAGAAGCTTCGAAAACCTTTAGCGCCCAAACCACAAAACTGTCGTTCCATGCAGGCCCCCCGGCGTGAGAGATGAAGGCATAGCGCACGCCCTCGCCTCGCACAGCTACGGCGGCAACTGGAGCGGTTCTACTTCAAACCCGCTAAACGCCCCCTCCTCTTTAGCCCTGGGGTCGGTAGGCTTTCATTGGCCTGCGAAGGAAATGCAGAATACCCTGCAGCATTTCCTGGAGTTTAGGGGGTGCCGGGTGTAGGGTTCGGTATCTGCCCTCGGTTTTCGGGTTTGGGGAAGGTTGAGGGTTTGAATCGCGAATAGCCCTGGAAGCGGGGCTCTGTAACATCCACATGCTGACATGTGCTAAGCCTCGGAGTGTCGAGGGTGGCCCGAAACCCCCAACGAAGCTACAGTCATGGCTACTGGTATGAGCTCTGAATTCTCACCTCTGGACCTATATGTGCGATGACCCTAAACCCTAAACCCGAAACCCTGAACCCTAAACCCAAAACCCTAAACTTAAGCGTGTCCGACTCAGGCCGGTGCCTTCCTTGAACTCCTCGATGGCCTCCGCCAGAGCCTCGTGATCCTCGGTGGCCTCATGAGGATTCTTTAGATAGGGCGCTGCATGCTGGGCCATTGAGAGTTTCGGTATAGTTCTAAGCCAATCCAACGGCATCAGCACCTATATAGCCCCTTGCCCTCAAGGTGTCCCCTGACTTCTATGATGATTCGCAGCTGTCTCAGTTTTGACGGATTTTTTGCCTTGCATGGCTTGTTGACAGACAGATCGGCATAAGGCTTGACATGAAGCTCATACTAAACATTTTCGTGTTCCGCATCAAGGCTTCATCGAGGGATCCGCATGTACGAGGCTTGGAAAACCTAAGCTTATGCTTGCACTGATCATGTGTGTAACGTGGAATTTGGTCTTGAGCTGGACCACGTCAAGGTCAGCTGGCTCAAAACATCTTCACTGAATCTACAGATAGAAACTCTGCGTCACGCACAGCCCAAAAGCTCCGGGTGAAAAAGCCTGAAGCTCTCCTCCTAATCACCGGAATAGCCCTTGCAACTTACAACCCCGATAACCTCCCTTCATTTTCAGGATTCACGGACCAATAGCCGTTGCCTTGCAAAGGGGGCGCTCACTGCGCTTCTGGATAGCCTGCAGAAGTTTTGTTCGAGGGTTCAGGCTTTAGGTGTTTACTTTCCCAGTTCTTATGTAGTCTTGCAGAAGGGAGTTATAGGATTCAGGGAAATTCAGGGTCCTACATTACTCCGTTTCCCGTTGCTACAAGAACCCGCTCCCCTCCCTCCCTGATTTTGAAATTCGCTACGACCGGAGAATGATGACCCTTGCGACTGTGTTACTGTGCAGACCGTGAAATCCGCTGCTTTTGCTCACGCAGCTCGGGGGTTTGGAGGTTCAGGGCTTTTGGGGTTAAGGCCTAGGCACAATCAATGGCCATAGACCCTCAGCGAATTCTCCCAGTGATCATCTGCCATCCTTTGCAAGCTCTTAGGTGAATCACGTGCCCGAGAGCACAACTACCCTCCCCAAAAGATAAACCAAACCTTCAACTACCATAAAAGGAACTCTAAACTCGGGCGGCGTCATGGCCTGCAGAAAGATGTCTGCCAACTCCTACACACACACACAGCTGCGGAGGGTTTTGGGTGGTAGACTCGTAGACCACAAGCCTGGTTTCGTTGTTTAGGGCTTATAGGGCTTGCAGTGTCGGCGTTATGGTCGCCAAACTCCTGCCCATACCCGGAGGATTCTTGCCCCTTTGAGGACTTTAGGGCTTCTGGGCAGCTCTGATTTCCAGTGTCCACGGGGTCACAGTACCCCGTTTAGCGGGTTAAAGGTTGTAGCTCAACCTATCCCAGGCTTCGAGGGCTCAGACTTCTTGCAGAGTTGGGGTTTTAGAAATGTGAAAACCAAGCATCGCACCAGCACTGGGAGGGCGGGAGAGGGCTGCGCTGTAAATCAAAGACCACAATCACAAATATTCGGGTGTCACGCGTTTTGCGTGCCAGCCACGCTACACGTACTTCCCTTTTGCCGGGAGAAACCCAGGGCAACGCCCATGCAGAGAGTGGGGTCTATCGGGCCTTGTAGGGTAGAGCTTCGGGTTTGCTTCGATACATCCATCTGGGTCCTGCAAGAAGGAATCCACCTTTACGCGGTCCAGTCCTGGGAGCAAGCGGGGGTCGTTCCGCAAGGAGTTTGTTTGGGCACCCACTCCCAGCAACATGTACCCCATGTAGCAGTCGTATTAATTAAAATTCATTCAAGTACATGCTAAACAATCAAACATGAAAAATCCAAAAGTCGATAAAGCTCTTCGGAATTAAAACCTAGTCGAGAATAATTGAGATGAAGTAAACCGTATTAATTAACACTCACTCAAATAAATACTAAACAATCAAACATGAAAAACCAAAAAGTAAGCTCTTCTTGATTAAAACCTAGTTGATAATCATTGAGATGAAGTGAACCTTATTACACATGTTTTACCACTAATCCAAACAGGCAAAATTAATTAAACTAATCAAAACAACAATATACATCTGCGAAAATTCAGTACTGAATTCAAATAAACTAAAACTAATTGATACTGGAAAACGACTTAAATTTCTCAAAGAATACTTAAAACTTGAATCAAAGTAGATTCAATTGGGAGTGGGTCAAAATTCGGGTTGTCGCGGGGGGTCCCCCACCCCCTCTGTTAGGTTGTTTCATACGTTTGTCGCGCCGCTACTTTGAACCAATTTTCTCATTTGGGTTTTGCAAGGGTTTAGGGTACAGGGCTTAGGTTTAGGGTTGGGGTTTCGGATGAAGGGTTTAGGGACCGCAGGGATTCTACCGGAGAGCCATTAAACCCTGAACCCTGAAAATATAAACCCTGGGCTTCTCGTTCAAGGTTGTCCTACGGATGGGCACCTGCTGGCTCGAGCAGTCGCGCGGGTTGTCGCGGGTATGTCGCGCCCTGTCGCAGGCTTTGTCGCGGACTTAGAGTGAAAGTTGCTGCAGACACGCATCAAGGTCGCATCGAGATTGGCAATGAGAAAATTCAATGGTATTGCTGTCTTGTCGGGGGGGGGGGGGTTGTAGCCTTGTCGCGGGGGGGGTTGTCGCGGACGCGGCCCCTCTGTTACAAACCTTTGTCGCGGAGGGACCCCCCGGCGCCTGTTACAAGCCCGGAAAAAAACTCACTCCCAATTCAATAAACTACAATTCTAATTACTTAAGCAGGAAGGGAAACTTCGCTTGAAATTGAACAAAATGAAAATAAAATTATAAGCGGTTATAAATTAAACAGAATTGCTTAAAACAAAACTGATTAAAATCACTTAATAAAATGAAGTTTAAATTCATGAAGATTGAATACATGTTTTATCATGAATATACACAATTTCAATGCATTAAATCCGATGAAAATGAAGTAAAATCAATGAACACTAACTAAAATAACGAACATTAGTTCAAATTTTTTTAACTAGTTAAAACAATTTGACTAAAAATGCGATACTGAATTTAAAGCGATTGGAACGAATGAAACTTAATTTACAAATCATTAACATTTTGGGTTCGGCCGGTCCACACTAACAGTCACCACCAGCAGACCCACAAATAAAAGCACCCGGTAAATGCCAAAAAATTGACTGAGATTCCTGCTATTCCTGGTGCTATTCCTAGTGCTATTTCTGGTGCTATTTCTGGTGCATTTTTTTTGTGCTATTCCTGGTGCTATTTCTGGTGCTATTTTTTGTGCTATTGTTTGTGCTATTTCTGGTGCTATTTTTTGTGCTATTGTTTGTGCTATTTCTGGTGCTGTTGCTGGTGCTATGTGACTAACAACCACCATCAGCAGACCCACGAAAGACAGCACCCGGTAAATGCTAAGCTGCTAAAATTGACTGGGATTCCTGGTGCTATTTCTGGTGCTATTGTTTGTGCTATTTCTGGTGCTATTTTTTGTGCTATTCCTGGCGCTATTTCTGGTGCTATTTTTTGTGCTTTTGTTTGTGCTATTTTTGGTGCTGTTTCTGGTGCTATTTCTGCTGCTATGTGACTAACAGTCACCACCAGCAGACCCACAAAAAGAAGCACCCGGTAAATGCTAAAATTGACTGGGATTCCTGGTGCTATTTTTGGCCTGTGTGTTATAAGGCCACGGCGTTATTTGACTGTTTGTGTGGACCGGCCGAACCCAATTAACATTGTTAGACAAATCACTGAACGTAATCCAACTTATTTACTTAATAAAAAGCGATTTATACAAATTGTAAACAAGTTCTCAATAGTTCATGCTTAAATACTTAATGTTACTTTGTTCTTTGAATTTCCGTTATCTTTTATTTTAAGTGATCTTCTGTAAACAAACTGAATTTCATGAGTTGTAAGTAATGTTATCCAATGTTCACGAATTTAAAGTTATGTTTGATTTACACCCTCTCTAACCCACATAAATATTCTATGGGGTGGGAGTCGGGAAGCCATCCAGATGTCGAAACATGCTCACCAGACCAGGCATCTTCTATCTAGGGGGTCGGGAAACAACCCAGGTTCATGAGAATATACGCAAACGAAAACAAAATTTTATCTACTTAAGGATGCCAATGTCCAAAGGAAACACGGACGAGAGTCGACAAATCCAGCGGTAGAAGTTCAGCACCTGGCGCGCAAGCGTGCGCTCACTGCTGACTCACCCGTGACCGTAGGATGCATTGTTTCGATTCGGCAAGCGCCGCTGAAGGTGAGTGGCACGAAATCCTAGGAGCTTACCAAGCGATTCTGGGTCGTGGCACAAAGGATCTATGATTCTGCACGCTACCTCGTAGTGATTCCGAACAAAAGAGTACCCTTTTGTACTTTAGACAGGTCGTTACGGCTGTGAAAGCCACAATTGCTCGACGTCCTAGCAGGGAATTGGAGTGGAGGGTTCCTTTCACATCCATAGCCCGATACCACTTCATGATGAAGATCCCACGGCAGCTGAGAATTCTACCTGGGGAAAAGATGTCAGGAGATGGCCATGCAGAAGAT